TTATTAAGTAATCATTCATTTTTTTTTCTCATATTTTGTTCTTGTGTATTATAGCTCATATTTCTTTCAATGAAGTAAATGTCAGATGATCATTCAATTAATAAAATATCTTATTGAAATCTCTTCAGAACTGAGTTCGAGATTTCATCATCATCATCATCATTCATAACTAAAGATGTGTAGAACCAATTTTTTTTTGTAATCTCGGTTTCGAAATTAAAACTAAACTATTGTTTATACATTTCATCTATCGAACGATCTTTATTTCATATTGATGAGTAAATATGACTCGATTTCTAGTCGAACTTATTATGTTACTCCCTCCCTCAAATCACATTCATCATAGATGAAATCAAACTATGTCTTTTGTATTGTATTACAAAAATCTCGGCTAATACCAATGTTGACTATCGCTACGAAATACAACACTGTACTCTATCTATAATAACTCAAAAAAGTTCAATATACCGAGTCCGAAAATTTTGAACTCGATGGTACTCTAACACAAAATCATGATCTTGTGGCGCCATCTTATGTTTCAAGTTATACTAGGGAAAAAAATATATTACATTGCACATAGGTAACCTGACCTGTTTGCCTAGTTCAATATTATATAGATGGATGAGATTAGGCTAAAATTTCACGATTCAGCCGGGCAACTCTGGTTTATACTATTAATTCATATGTAAGAGTTTAAGAATTGATTTTTTTTTAGATTTATTTAGTATTTTCAATAGTTTCGAAATCAATTTATTTAATCATTCTTTTTCGTCCGCTCGCTCCTCCTTTCTTTTTTTTTTCACCAAATAAATTCATCCAATAAACAAATGCTTCGATGATTCATTCATTTAAATTCTTTGTTTAATGATTTGTTTTGATGAACAAACAAAACATCGAATTTTAGTCATTCAATTTATAAAATAAAATATTTCGAAAGACGGACATGATGAATATTGGAATGTTAACACCAGATCGTTTCCATATGGAACGAAGTATAATTTATATATATTTATTATTATTGAAAATAAATTTCATTTTTATTTTTATAGGTCATAGTTTATTTGAATTTCCAAGGCGATTATTTCTAAATCCACTTGATATTGATGATGAAGATGATAATAATAAGAATAATGATTCACCATTTTCAAATCGATTTGGTCCATGTGATGAAGCAATATCATCAACTAAAAAAAAACCTAAAGCATGGTCAGTACGTGCACGAAGAGATGAACCTAATCTTTTACGTGGAGATAGGTAAGAAGAATTTATTATATAGAACTTTTATTGACTAGATTTATAGATCTCCTGGAGTTGCCGGAAGAGAAAACACGAATAGGTCATGTTTAAATTAAGAAAAATATCTTCAAAGTTAAAATTGACGAGGAAAATCTCTCAATTGATTAATTGCATTTAATTCGAGACTGTGCGCATCATGTAGATCTTAATGAGTTATGAATATTCTGAGAAGAATTCGAGCGTTTAGCTTATTGTATTTTTACGTCAATGCTGCCGTAGTCCCTCTCAAGAAAATTCAATTTCGACTTAAAACTTTCCACAGAGACAAAACTTAATAAAAATAATTTTTTAAGGTTTGTCTCTATAGAAAGTTTCAAGTCGAAATTTGAAAATTAGATTTTTCTTATGAGTCATAGTATTGACTTAAAAAAAAAACAAGAACAAAATTCTTCATGAGATTAGTTGTTTGAACAAGTTTTTACTTTTCTAGTATTTTTATAGATTTATTCCACGTCGTATTGATCTTGATTGTGATTATGCACTTGATACACTTGTATCACAAAATCTTCATATTACTTCACGTTCTATATCATATAATAATGGAGAAATAATATCAAATGAACATCAACAACAATTAATACGTCAACAACGTCGTATACAAAAACGTTCAAATCAACAAATACAATCAAATTCATCAAGAAAAACACTTGAATTACTTGAACATTTTATGCCACAAAATCGAAGAATTTATAATTTTGGTGTTAAAACACTTAAACCACGACCTATAGGTATGAATTTCATGTCTTTAAAGAGAAAAAAGTATATATATTCGATTTTATTTATTAAGATCCAAGTGATCTTGCACGACAAATTGAAGCATTAACAATTACATCAAAAGAACGATATATTAGTTCAACACCCGAACGTATTCTTGATGCACCAGATTTAATTGATGATTTTTGTAAGTAAAAATTCAAAGAATAAAAATTTTAATTTTTGTTTTTTGAATAATAGATTTAAATTTAATTGATTGGGGTAAACCAACAAATATGATTGCTGTTGCTTTAATGAATTGTGTTTTTCTTTGGGATGATAATTCTGGTAATGTAACAAAATTACTTGAACTTAAACAACCAAATAATACAAATGATGATTATGATGATGATGATGATGATGAACATATACATTATGTATCAAGTGTTGCATGGCATAGTAAATCACCATATCTTGCTGTTGGTACATCTTATCAACAAGTTCATATTTATGATGTTAATCAACAAATATGTAAAAGAAAATTAATTGATGAAAATATGCTTGATGATGATGATCGTATACCATGTTTAGCATGGAATCAAAATGTTATTGCTTGGTAAATATAGAAGAAATTTCTATTTTTTTTTTGATAATTAGTATAGATGAATGAACTTTGTTATTTTTAAACAAAATCATTTTTACTACAAAGAATAAAAACTGTTCGAATTCTTTTTAAGAATATTTCTTATATAATAGTTCTGAAAATTATTCAATCGAATTTACTTTCCACTTTGATAAATGTTGACATAGTAATTTGAAAGAAGGATGAATATCCATGCTTTCTATCTACCTGGGACGGTAGGATGTGCTTTCATCCTCGAGATGCTAGAACTGGGGACCGGGAGATTTCGTCAATTTGACTGTGAATTCCAAAAAAGAATAGACTCGATTGTGTATTGAATAACTCGGCAATGCTGATAGCTATTGAACTCAGATTTTCGCTATTAGAAAGAGCATGAGCGAAGGTACAAGTCTATTTGCGAATCAAAATACTTGAAAAGTTTTCTAGAAGATTTCAAGGTGTTTTTGAAAAATCACTGTCTGATTAGCTGTATTTTCAGTTTAGCCATATTGTGGCGCAATGGCTACTTTATAAATTATGAAATTTCGACCTGAAAATTTGCCTATAGATAGTTTGAATGGCCCACAGAATATATTAAAAGTTTTACTCAAAAAGGATGTTTCTTTCTCGAGATATTATATTTTCAATTTGACTTGAAAATACACTTAATCAAGCGCATCAGACATTGATTTTCCAAAAAATCTTTGGAACCCTCTAGAAAATTTTTCAAGCATTTTGCTTCACAGATCCTATTCATGCTCTTTCTAACAGTGAAAATTCGAGCTCAATAAATATCAGCAAACAACAGAGTTCATTCTTTTGTGAAATGGATAATAGATATGAAGATTAGATGCTTTATTTGAATAATCAGGAAATTCATTTGAATTTCCGAACATCCCTTTTGTTTCCTGTTTATCAAGATATTGGAGGCATAGGAGACATAGGAAGTGATTTTTTCAAGCAAAGTTTGGCAAGTAGCAGCAATATATTTTATGGATAGATATTTAAGTTCAAACATTATTGAATGATCAACTGTATCAATTAATCAATATCTTCTATACCTTCTGCACCTTGATAAACAGGAAACAAAAGGGTTGTCCGGAAATTCAAATAAAACATCATGCGAAAGAATTATTTACTCTATCATTTTAGGAAATTCAAATAGAATTATAGGAGCTAAGAAAACTTAGATTTTGGCTTTTCAAAGCTCATATATCCTTGAAAAACTAATAATCATTTTTATCTTCGAAAATTTTTGTTAGAAATAAAATTTTCTATTCAAATTATTGTTTAGATTTTTTTTATTATCGATTATGATAGTGTAAAAGTAAAAATGAATAGATTTATGAATTAATAGTATATTCTAATTAAAAGAAAAAGAATATTTTAAGCTTTTTTTTTTTTTATCACGTTCATTTGAACTTTATATAATTTAATCAAAAAAAGAAAAAAACATACTATCGAAATAATTCTATTACTTTATTTTGTTTTATTCTAGTGGAACACGTAATTCAGGTGATATTCTTCTATATGATGTACGTCAAAAAGATTGTATTGTTAAATTTCAATCACATTGTCAAGAAATTTGTGGTCTTAAATGGTGTCCTAATGGACGATATTTAGCTAGTGGTAGTAATGATAATACAGTTTGTGTATGGGATTTTCATCAATGGTATTCAAATAGTGGAACATGTGGTAGTCTTTCATCATTATTACCACCAGCTGATGGTGATAAAAATAAATCAAATATTTCAACAAAACCATTATGGCATTTTAAAGATCATAAAGCAGCAGTTAAAGTAAATTTCTTTTTTAAAAATAACTATTCTTTTATTTATTTATTTTTTTTATTAATTAAGGCTATTGCATGGTGTCCATGGGAAGGATCAAAAGTATTAGCAACCGGTGGTGGTCATTCAGATGGTTATCTACGTTTTTGGAATAATAGTAATGGTACATGTCAACAATCTATTAAAACTGATTCACAAGTATGTAGAAGACAAAATGAAATTTATTGATCTTTCATTTGTCTTTTGATTTTTTCATAAGGATTATTAAATACTCTGAACAAAAACCTCGAACTAATTTTTTTCAGGACATTTAGAGTAATTTAATATACATTAAAATTAGTTCTAAGAAAATTCATTATTCTGAGATATACATATTTTTATTTTCTAAAGTTATGTCATTAAAGAGATGATTTTGTTCAGATAAATTTATTTCAAAAAATTATTCAAAATGAATTTTTTAGATATCATCAATACTTTGGTCAACAGATTATAAACAAATTGTAACTGGTCAAGGTCATCCAAATAATGTTATACATATTTGGCATTATCCATCAATGTCAAAATGTCATACATTACAGGGTAGATAAATTCGAATTAATTGTTTTCTTTTGTTTTGAATTTATAAAATTTAATTTCTTTTTTTAAAGGTCATACATCACGTATTCTTTCATTAATAATGGGTCCAAAAGGAAATCCTATTGTTAGTTTATCAGCTGATGAGACAATTCGATTTTGGAATTGTTTTCCTGTTGATGTACAACGAAAGAAAAAACTTGAAATGACACGTACACATTCATATCCAACTAAACTTAATTTCAATTGTCGATAATTATTATTATTATTATTATTTTTCTTTTTCTATAATACTTTTTTCTTGTCAAAATAGATTCTGAAATATTGTTCAAAAAGAAAAAAAAAAAAGAAAACAAATAAATCAAATTATCATATTTCATTCAGTACAAAACAAGTATCCTTTCTCATTTTATTATATATATATAAATATAATTTATTGTCTATATTGAATGATTTTTATATAGAAAAATCATATGAACATCAGTCAGAAAAAAAATCTATCAAGTGTAACTTATCGAATTATTTGAAATGACATATGACAAAACTCTTCTATGAATATTTAATATAAGATAAGTATCATTTAAGTACCGTAAACAATACTCTGACGTTAATATGTATTTGAGAAGCTACGCCATGTCGTATATATGTATATGTTGTGGCCGCAGTTGGAATTCAGCCCGATTCCGAATTCGTCCAGCCGAAATTGGAATTCTAACTTCGTCTGGACTAAAGTAGAATTCCAAGTTCGACTAAACTGACTATGGGCGAGATTAGAATTCTAATTTCGACTAGACGAAATTAGAATTATTGTTTAATGACTAGAAATCCATAGGGAAAAAAGAGAATTAAAAATCAATTTTTTAAATTTTACAAAAACAAATTAACAAATATCACAAAGTCGAAGTTAATGTAACTCTTCCCAAATTAGAACGCCAGCCTAAAATAAAAGGCCACACCTACCTCAATGTTTCGTTCGACATAAAAGAAGATCACGAATTTTTCAAAAAGGTTTTCATAAATCCGGGATAGTTTTGAGGTTTTAGCATTTAGAAGAATAGTTTTTGAGTAAAAAGCGAAGTATTCATTACTAAAAACACTACTTTCTCTCGGATTCAGCGAATTTTACAGCACTTGAATATGAAATTTGTCCCTTTAGAGACTAGAAGTTTATCCTAAAATCTTTGATTTTACAACAAGCTTTTAATAAAAACGTAAGTTCATATTAGAAGGTCACCGTTGGAAAAACGATATAAATTTTCAGAAGAGAAGACCACGCCTTCTTATTTGAGGGGGGGGGGGAGGGAGTTACTCGATGTTAAAAAAGGTACTTCTCTCTGAGTGACATTTGGTAGAACAACACGCATTAGCTCTTTTCGCTCTCACGGTCACAAACAAATTCATCAATGTTTTTAATACATCTTTTACCGCTTAATATTCATTAAAAAATAATTCTAATCTCGTCCATAATCAGTTTAGTCGAACTTGGAATTCCACTTTAGTCCAGACGAAGTTAGAATTCCAGTTTCGGCTGGACGAATTCGGAATTGGGCAGAATTCCAACTTCGGCCATAACATATACATACAAATATGGTGCTTTGATTATATAAACAAATGAATTATGAAAGTATATGCATGTTTTTGTTTTTTTTTGTCAATGATTGATCAATAAAATACAATATAATTAATTATTTATATATCATTGTATTATTAGAAATGCAATGAGCTTTGGTTTTTATTATTTCACATGATATTCTCTAATTTAGAAAATACATCAATGTAATAATGAATAATAGATATCTATCTTGAATATCAGAAACATTTCTATATTCTATGAATGTCATCGAAAATAAACAAAAAATAAAATGTAAGAGATGGCTGAGTGGTAATAGTTGATTCAGATAATAAAAAAAAGATTTTAAACATTATTGACATTGATTGATCTTGATACGTCATTCTTTTTCTTTATCATATTCTCTGACTTCTTTCTTTTTTTTTTCTCTATCATTATTATTTACTAGACAAGCATACAACTGACTATCTATCTATTCCAAGCACACACCCACATATGAGTATGTGAATAAATAGTTCGAATGAATTCATTTCCTTTTTAACAATATTTAATATTTCATTTTGTGATAATAGAAACTTGAATATCCATTCCAGATTGAAACTTGTTCTATTGATGTATAGAAACAATATTTTTAAATAATAAGTAAGCTATAATTATACTTACTTTTACATATCAAGCTTATAAAAAATATTAATAGAATAGAAAAAAAAAAGAGTGCAAAGATAATACTGATTAATCTGCTCTGAAATTATTTTCTTTTCTTTTTTTAGTGTATGTTTATCTGTAATCTTTTATAGAAGTAATTGAAATCATGCCGATTTCTACAAATAGACTATTTCTTCGTGTTAGATCTACTAAACAAAAGTATATTAAACTCCGACATAGAATTAAAAAAAAAAACAAAGTACATTTACATGTAGTTAATATCGGTTAACCAGTATGGGTCTTTTTCTTTGTTCTGTTAGGAAAGGAAAAAAAAAGAAATCTTGGATCGTATGAGCATTTTGTTATCTATAAAACAAATTTAGAATTATTATTTTAACAAACATTTATTTATTCAAAAAAACATCAATTATAATTATCTTGTACAACTTTAGGTAGTAATAAAATTTATCATATATTATTATTCTTAATAGTTTCAGGTCATTAAGACCCGTATTTTATTACTTGAAGATGCATGACATCTATGATCATATTTTATTGTGTCATGCACAGTTAATTACTGTTAGAAAAATGAATTCTATGATTTGATGGTATATGACGCATATCAAAACGAAGAAACAGAATCGGAAATTAGTCGCTTTTTTGTAATCATGATGATGCAACTTTGTCCGAGAATATCCCGATCAGAATGAGAATGTGACACTTCATTCCATCTCTTTCTTTTGCATCATTTCTTTCCAGGTCAAAGGGCAAGAATAAACATTGTATTTTTCAAGAATAGACTATAAGATAAAGTCAATTTTTATATTAAAGAATTTCTTTTATTAAATAGTTGACACGAAGATAGCTACCTTCGGCAATAGAAATTATTAAGAAATATCACTTGTAATCAATGGTGCTTTGATTTTTTTGGCAATAAATGTCATAAGGGGCAGTAGAATTATTTTTTTTTTTCTTTAGTCTATTTTGAGAAATAGAATTAATTTACTGGAAATTTTATTTTATCTTCTGAAAAAAACATGAATTTGATCAATAATCACTAGGAAAAATGCCTACAGTGTTTGTTGAAATATCAACAGATATTATTTTTAAATCTAATTGAAAATTACATTTCTTTCTCAGAAGATTCAAAGAGATAAAAATCGGCTTTATTTTCATTCTGGGAAATATATCTGAATTGAAAACATTAGTTGGACTATAACGACTGAGAAGAAAAAAAACAAATAATACTAAGTCTCTTGTGAGAAAAAAAAAGAGAATGTGATTCTATCTACTAAGCTTGATTAACATGGAACATTCTGATATATTGCTCTTTTGCTTGTCAATTTTTTTTTCATTGTTATGTTCTCAAGTGTATCTCTCTTCTCTTTTAATATATATATATATATATTCACTTTGTGCAATAACTTTATTAAGTTGTATTGTATATGGCAGATAAGTATATGTAACAAGAAAGTCTGTTAGAAGAAGTCTTTCTGTTTTTATTTTCGAAAACATATTTCTTTGGAGAATTTTTTATTTGTACATTTTCTTAAAATTTGAAAAAGAGTAAAAATCAATTGAAGATTTGATTGATCATCTATTCATTATTATTCAGTCAAAAATTCGATGATTGTATGATTAATAATTAAGATGCAGTCGAGTTCAATGAATAGATAATGCAGATTTTTTTGTATTATTATTTTAAAACAACAATGTCCATTTCCGGTCTGATGTTTCTAACGAACAAAAGCAATTAATTATTATTTTCTTTGTTGTCTTCTTCATTCGATCGTTATATATTCAAAAACAAAAGCAATTCCTCTTAGTCTTGCTTTTTTTTTTTTCAATAGAAAAGTCTTCTTTTTTTACGTATTCTATTCATTAATCTATCTTCGCAATACATATAAATGATTATTATTGACTTTGCTTTTTTTTTTGCTTTTTAATTATTTTGATGAAAACTTCTCTACCAATATTCTAAAAATAAGTAATAACGGATATTAAGACTTCAATTGAAGAAGATTTTTTTTTGTTCTATAATCAAAGACCATCTATCGCATTTCCTCTTTTTTTTTGTTATATAAACAAAAATAATTGAACTACATTTCTAATAGAAAAAAAAAAGATTGATAATAAACATGACAGCATAAACAATAGATGAAGTATCAATAAAAGATTCTAGAATAGTTTTATAAGACTATTCTATTTACATTAATAGTATATATATAAACGTAGGCAGTTTGCTACTTTTTTTTTTAATATAAAGGACATGAACAGGAAGAACGTCTGAGAATATCTGTCTCGTGTCTTTCGTGATTTATTTGTTTTTCTCTTTGATGTGAATGTCAAACTCATTTCACTAATGAATCATTATAGGTAATTTTTGTTTTCATGATAGTAAATAAATAATCATTAAGTTGCACATGATGAATTATGCGTATTAATCGTCTAGAGATCAAAAGAAAATCTAATTAACTTGTCGATATTGATAGAAAAAAGTTTTCATTGACAGCAAGAAAAAAAAAAAAGAAAAGAATAATAATAATAGTAAAACGCAAACAACTCTTCATTAATTAATTGAATATAATATAATAATACCTGAAAAGGAAAAGAATTCTGTTTGATATTATTCTATTTTCTTAGATTTTATTATTCTCGGTTTATTAATAAAAGACGCTATGATATATTTAAATTTTCTTTTTTATTTATTTTCAAGAGTTTTTATTTCTAGATATAAGTAAGACAATCGGTAATATACGTTGTTTGCTTTTTGATGAAAGAAAAAGAAAAAAGAGACATGATGAAAAGTGCCATTCTTATTTGTGTCATTGAAAAAACTCATATTACCTCTTATGTGTTCCTCCTTGTTCTGTTTACTGAGTTCTACTCATGACACATACGCATTGTATAAACGCAATAAAAGAAAGGAAGATAACCATATGACTAAATTGACTATTTTTCTCTTTATAGATACAACAATTTTGTTGTCATCCGTTCTCTTGTATAATCATTTATTATTATTATTATTACGCAAATAGGATTTTTGAAATAGGAAATCTATTGTTGAATTTATATTCAACATTACGTGTATTCTAATGGTATTATTTTATGACACAATAATAATAATAATAATATATGAACTGATAAAATAAATATTTCATGAATGAATTCAATCAATATAACTTCGACTGCAATACAAGATTTATCTAGTAATGAAATTACTTGGTCATTAAGATCAATTATTGTACTTAGTATATGTAGTTTAATTACTATATTTACAATATTAGGTTAGTTTAATTTAAATTCTATATATGAGATAAATATATTTATTTATTTTCTATAGGAAATGGTCTAGTATTAATTGCAGTTAAACTTCGTTTTCATGCTCGATCTTATTCTGATTATTTCATTGTAAGTTTATGTTTAGCTGATTTTTTTGTTGGCCTATTTGTTATGCCAGTTATGACAATACATTCAATATATTTACGTTGGCCATTTCATTATCGTCTTTGTTATATATGGATGTCAATTGATTTTACTTGTTCAACAGCATCTTTTCTAACACTTGCTTCAATGGCATTAGATAGATATTATGCATTAACAAGTATTTTATTTATTCATTATTTTTTATTTCTCATTTTTCTTTATCTTTTTCTTTAGCACCATATTTTCATTTACGTAATCGATCACATACATCAGTATTAATTTTTATTATAAGTTCATGGGCTATACCATTTGCTGTATGGCCATTTTCAATATTTCTTGCACATCAATTTATTTCAACAAAACCAGCATGTACACATCCAGCACATCCATTTATTATTGTTATATTATGTACATGTTTTTATTATATTCCACTTTTATTTATGCTTGTATGTTATTCAAGAATTATAGTTAATATTAGAAATATTGAAGCTATGGTAAGTAATCCATTTCTACTGTATAGCTTTTATTCTTTATTTAATGATAATACTAAAGAATTCTATTGACAAAAACAAAAAAATTAAAAGATTACTAATAAAAACTAAGTAATGAAATTTATTGGTACAATTTTTTTTCTTTATTCTATATAAATCAGACGATAGATCTAACAAATTAATGCATCATAATTATATTCATTGTTATACAGCAAAAAAAAGGAAACAAATTTTAAGAATTGATATATTCATTTTTCTTTCAGTAGGAACGTGATGTTAAAACTAATGTTACTATTAATTAATATTTATGTTAATCTGACACTTCTCTCTCAAAAACATTACTAATATAATTTCATGTATAATTCATCATTATTTCTATTAAAAATCTATATATATATTAAAATTTTTCGAAACTATTACTTAATGATTACAACAAAATCTAGAATAAGTTATTAAATAGTATAATTAATTCCTGCACTCATATTCTTAGTAGAGGCATTTAATGATACCTAGAACATTTTTGCTTTCGGGCAAATTAGTTCATGCCAATGGAATAGTGCATCTACAGAACAAGAAAAAAATTGACTTTGTTAAGTTCTCGGATACAATTTCTTTTATCAATTGAAAGCCAATAGCATGTAAAACAACCGAGAAGTTTTTGATATAAAAAGAAAAAGCAAAATCAAGTTTTTTTATTATTCTTTCCTAATAAATTCTGTAATTAATAATCATAAATATTGAAAATTATTGTTTATCTTTCTATAGATCAAAGATACATGGAATACATTTAAATTCGATTCTATTGATCAAGATTATAAATCAACAACAACAACAACAACTACATATAATGATTATGGTGGTATAACATCTAATGATAAAAATGATCATAAAAAAAGATTACCATCATCATCACAAACAAATACAACATTATGTTCATATATTGCAAGATATTTTCAACGAAATTCTACAAAACAACCTATACAAAATTTAGAAATATCAAGAAATGAAGGTTTATATTTTGCACAAAATGTAATAGCTACTTGTCATAAAAGACGTGGAACTATAGTTAATAATGGAATTATATCTAATACATTATCAACAAATCCTATTCATCGTTCAAATCGACAAAAAACAACAGCAACATTTACAGGACAAAGACGTTGTATGAATGAACTTAATGAAGATAATCGTTCAAAACCTGATTTATTAATAAATCAAGAAGAAGAACAAATTATTCGTACACGTCTTAGTAGTCGTGCATCATCATTACCAGGTGCTCGTTGTATTTCATATTATTATTATCAAAATCATATACCAAATCAAACACGAATGATTGATGATCAATATCGTTCAAGAATGAATTCTATAACAAATGAACGAAGTCGTTCACAATCACATTCATCTAGTCAAGGTAATAGTGGTTTAGTACCAGCTGATATATCAGATCATAGTTCATCATTTGAAAATCTTGGTGATGATGAACATCGTCGTTTAAATCGACGTAATCTATCATCACATTTATCACCATCATATAATACAAATCGTTATAGTCAACGTGCTGTAGCAAAATTTATGCATGAAAGAAATAAAGCAAGATTAAGACGAAATCAAAAAGCAAGTCGAATGCTTGGTAAGATCAATGTTTTGTTATTTTCTTTAGAATAATATTTATTATTATAAAAATCATATGATATAAATAAGAAATTATTAGGATATGAATATCATGTTAGATAAAGAGTTTTCTCTTAATTAAATCTTTCTATTTACAATAGAATAATGAAAAGAAATCATTTAAAATCACGCACAAAATGACGTCATATTGTTGGTAGTATGTCATTGACAAAATAAATATTCTAATAAATTCAGTGCATCTAAAAATAGAGAATTACGTAGGATGTTTCTAAAAATTTAAAAAAGACAAAAATAATATTAATTATATAAAAATTTATTTTTTAGGTATTTTACTTGCTGTTTTTCTTATTTGTTGGCTTCCATTTACAATATCTTATCCAGCAATGATATTTTATCGAAGTCAATTTCCTTCTCAACTTGAAAGTATTATATTTTGGTTTGGTTATTTTAATTCTTTACTTAATCCTTTTTTATATGTGTACAGTTCACGTAATTTTCGTCAAGCTGTTATTGAAACATTATGTTGTTTTGCTCGATTAAGATCAAGACAACAATTACGATATCAATGGTCACTTCGTGATTAAATTATTTCAATATAGACAGTCATACTGTCAACATAAACTTTTGTTTCTTTCTTTCTTTCTTTCTTTCTTTTTTTTTCAACATATGTTGTATCATAATCGAAAATTCTGTTCTGATTAAACAATAAATCAATTGAAATAGTGTCAATTATTGTGTCTATAGTCAATGTTAAGATGCAATCATTATTTTTAATATAAAATTAAAAACAACTTTAATACTAACTTTTGAATGTAGATCTTTAATGAGTAAACTTATCTTATACAACATTCAATAGTTGAGAAAATTTTATGTAGGCAACTGCTCAATGAAATTTCCCATGTCGTACGACCACTGGCATAGCGCACATTTTACCGAACGGTCTTTCGGAGATTTTTTTTGTCCAGCTCGAATCATATTGGTGGACTTCGTATTTTATTTACCCAAGACAAAGAATTTTAAAGTTGGATCGGATGAGATCATATTGAATTTACATCTGAACATTAGACATTGTTTGACCTTTTCCTATTCCTTTCTTCTTGTACAATTAGCTGTAAATTAATAGCTTAAAAATACTTTATTTTGACTTATTATTATATTTAATTGTTCAATAATAAATTTAAAATGAAGCAAAAAAAAAAACAAGTAGAATCAATAATTTATATTCACTTTTAATTGACTTCATGCCGTAATAGAATCTGAATTAAAAAATAAAATAAATAATTTATATTTACTGTTCGTTGAATTGTATAACTTCCATTGTCATCGTAAACAATGGTTTAGGAGTGTGAATATTTAACCTGGATTAGTCAAAAACACATTCGTGTTGTCAGAAATATATTTCACATGTTGTTTAATATTGATAAAGAGCAAAATTAAATACTTTAATACCATCGGACCTGTTCGATAAAAATTTTTTCGATCAGGAACCGGATCCGGTCGATTAAAATTTCTAGGTCCGATAGGCTCTACTTCCGGGATTCTATCGAATTCAACGGAGTGACTTCGACCTGTCTATAGGAAACTTTCTACAATCCTAAGAAAAAATTGAAAGGTTTTGAAATTTTCTTTGCTTTGCTAATGATTTTCATATAAACCCTAATGATACCAGGCAACATAATATATTCTGTTATCCATCGTCTAGTGACTCAATGAAAGATGGCGCTAAAAAATATGTCGATAAGTTTCACACTCAACCAATACATGATTCATAGATAAGTATGTTATTTTTTCCTCAGAACAAAAAGTCTGAGAACCACTCGAAAAAAAAAAGAAAAAGAGTAAATGGCAATTGATTAATACTAAAAATAACATGAGTGAATATAATGCAGATATTCAACAAGATGAATGTGATGAATCAATCAAAGGTGATGATATTGATGATATATTTGATGATCTAAATACAATAGATGATTCTGAAGTATTGAAATATTGTTTTTTTTTCTTTTGCGTATTTAAAATCTATTACATTTTATTTTTCTTATAAAAAAAAAATCAATATAACATAGGAAGATCATCGTCTTATTACTGTTGGTATATGCGCACAATGGAAAAAAGTTAAAGCAAAACCAATGGAAGAAATTTTACAACGTTTAGAACGATTTGAATTTCTTCGTATAATTATTTTTTCTGAAACAACTATACATGAAAAACCTATTGAAGAATGGCCATTTTGTCATGTTTTAATTAGTTTTCATAGTAAAGGTTTTCCACTTGCTAAAACACAAGAATATGCACGTCTTCATCAACCATTTCTTATTAATGATCTTGATAAACAATGGGATATTATGGATCGTATTAAAGTACATGAAATACTTGATGATACAGGTATTCCACAACCACGTTTTGGTGTACTTAGAAGACGTATGAATGATGGTTTGTCAAGAGAAAAAGAACGTTTTTTTATTTTAAAGATTTCTCTATTATTTCTAGATGGTACATGGACAACATTAGTGAATGTTATTGAACAAGATGATCATATTGAAATTGATGGTGAAATATTTCATAAACCATTTGTAGAAAAACCAGTATCAGCTGAAAATCATGATGTTTATATTTATTTTCCATCATCAGCTGGTGGAGGATCACAAAGATTATTTCGTAAGGTAAATATATAATGAATTGATTGTTATTAAAACTAATCTTTTCAAATCAAAAATTAATCTATGATTGGAATATATTCTACAAGATATCTTTTGAATCATTGAGTTTATTAAATAAAAACACAATTTTCAAATTTGTTATGGTTTCATATAACAAGTAACGCTCGTCTGTGGACTCATTCAACTCTTTCTCGTAGAAGTGTTGTTTTCTGAACTCTCCACAAATTATTCACTTATCTATATTACGAATAGTAACTAGTTCTAGATTGATATTCTTGTTTTTGAATTTCCTCTAGTGAAGTTTTCTCCTAAACTATAATGATATTACTTAGGTCAGTCCAAAAGTAGTTGCGGAGGTATAATAATTCTTCAAAGGAGGGTTCGATAATTTTTTTTTCTATACAGTCTGATAGAGAAAAGAAAGCTCTATTTTTCTATGCTATTTGATCATACTTTAACTAATATGATGATAATAAATTTTTCATAAAACTTTTTTCTTTAACATGTCTGCTCATTGTAAGTTATATATCGCAGTTTTCATTTCCTTGTTAGTTGTATTAACAATCAAAATATGCCATAAGATGCAGAGTGAAAAGCTCTATAATTTCCATAAGACTATTTTTTTTCTAGTTGCACATTTTGTTCTTAAAATAGACTAAATTTTCAGCAACCAAATTTCAACTATGAAAAAGATAATGTTTTTGATGCACGACAAATTCATTTTTTGTTGTTGATCATTTTATCACCTAATATGCTTTATCAAAAGAAAAACAAAATACACCAGAAGATGCAGCGTGAAAAGCTCTACAATCTACATAGTAAATTTTATTGAAATTGTTTTGAAAGAAAGGAAAATTCTATACGATCAGTTTTTACAACGGCCAAAGTTCGATCACTCAAAACTTTGTCCATTTTGAAAAAAAAAGTGCAACTAGAAAATAAGTGGTCTTATGGAAGTTGTAGAGCTTTTCACGCTGCATCTTATGGCATATTTTGGTTATTAATATAATGTATTAGTGGACTAAAAAAACTAACCGGTCTGACTCATTGTGAGCTAGTACAACGAGCAGACATGTTAAAGAAAAAAGTCTTATGAAAAATTTATTATCATCATATTAGTTAAAGTATGATCAAATAGCATAGAAAAATAGAGCTTTCTTTTCTCTATCAGACTGTATAGAAAAAAAAAATTATCGAACCCTCCTTTGAAGGATTATTATACCTCCGCAACTATTTTTGGACTGACCTAAGTAGTATGTTTTACTACTTTTTAGTATTGCTAGCTTATTAACACAAACTCATCATAGATTCTCGTTTTTTTTATTTGAACAATCTTTGATCAAGTTTTCCAGAAAAAATACTAATAATAATAGTACTTAGAAAAAAATCAAAACAGACTTCGGATTCAGGTTCCTGACCCTTAATTTCCCCTTCTCGAGCGTTGTAAAAAATATTAATGATTAATAATTAAAACCAACATCGGATTCGGATTGTCCACCATCGATTACCTTTGGTCAACTTTTTTGAAAAAAATTAATAATTAATAATTAATTAATTAAAACTGACCTCGGATTTGGATTCCTCATCCCAAATTACCCTTGGTGAAGTTTTATAAGAAATATTAATAATTAATGATTAGTTAATAATTAATTAAAACTAATCCCAAATTTGAACTCCCCACTCTCGATTACCTTTTGATCAAGTTTTATGGAAAATAATTCCTTTTATTTTCACCTTATTCTTGTTAGACTCTTCTCTACGAGAAAGAGAATTATTACTTTATATTGATATCAGCTAGATTGAATTACTTATAAGTTTGAGATCGTATTGTTGAAAAAATGTAAGATAATAGTTCAGAGTTAAATAGGATATACAAGATACAGAGAGATTATCTTTTTTAATCTAAAATTTAGTCAAGATTAATCATATTCTTTCATTTCATTTAATGTAATTTACAGTAAATATTTTTCTTTAGATTGGTAGTCGAAGTAGTGTATACACAGCGGAGAATAGTATTCGTAAAGATGGTTCATATATTTATGAAGAATTTATGCCAACTGATGGAACAGATGTTAAAGTATGTGTTCTTCTTCTTTAGTTTTTTGTTTTTTTCTTAGAAATTCTAATGATTAATTATTTGTAGGTATATACTGTAGGTGCTGAATATGCACATGCTGAAGCTAGAAAGTCACCTGGACTTGATGGTAAAGTTGAACGTGATGAATTTGGTAAAGAAGTACGTTATCCAGTTATATTACGTGCTGATGAAAAATTGATTGCAATGAAAATATGTTTAGCATTTAAAGTAAATTAACATTAATATTTTTGAATAGTAAAACAAAAGTCTTTTTTTTTAAGCAAACTGTATGTGGTTTTGATTTACTTCGTGTTGAAGGAAAATCCTTTGTATGTGATGTTAATGGTTTTAGTTTTGTTAAAAATAGTACAAAATATTATGATGATTGTGCTTCTATTCTTGCGTAAATATTAAGTTTTTTTTTTTTTTTAAATTTATTTAAGAACAAAAAAAAGTATTTTTTTTCTAAAGGCATATGATTATGCGTGAACTTGCACCAACATTATCTATTCCTTATCCATTAGCTTATCAACCAGAAGATCCACCTTTTGTACCGACTGCTTTTGGTACAAGAATGGAACTTCGATGTGTTATTGCTGTTATTCGACATGGTGATCGAACACCAAAACAAAAAATGAAAATGGTTGTTTTACATCCATTGTAAGATACGAAAATTTTGTTATAATTGAGAATGAATGTTTTTTTTTTTATTTGAAAGATTTTTTCAATTATTTGAAAAATATAATGGTCCAAAAAATGGTCATCTGAAATTAAAACATCCCGGTCAACTTCAAGTTTGTTTGCTAGCATCTTTTTTAAAAGTTTTTATATTGAATTCTTTTTATAGGAAGTTCTTGATATTGCTCGAACATTACTCAAAGAATTAGATGATAATCGAATAGCTGTATAATAAGATTTTTTCTTTTTCTTTTTGATATATATATATATATTTCGTATTTTCATAGAAATTTCCAAATTCATCTGAAACAAAAGGAAAATTACTTCAACTTAAACAAGTACTTGAATTATACGGTCATTTTTCTGGTATTAATCGTAAAATTCAATTAAAATATTTATCAAAAGGTCCACAAAAAAAATCTACTAGTGAAAATGGTAAGAATTCGTTGAAATATATTTTTCAAAAGGATGGATGTGGATGCGAGTGTGATTTTAGTGCTTCGCATCCGAAGATATAAGTATATGAAGAATGATTATTTCTTTTTCTTGTTAAAAAGTTTCGGTGCTCAAATTTTGCCTATAGGTAGAGAATGTATATACTAGAAAAATCCTAAGAGGATATGAGCGCAAGTTGTGATTTGACTGAGATATGAACTTTTTACTACAATCTTCCTATAGGACTCGACTTATCCCGTGAAATCATAGTTTTGGTTTGAAACTTTACATGCATCGAGTTCTCAATCAGACTAGCTCGTCTACAAAGTTTCAGAATTTCTGGATGAATTATCTCCGAAATGTGAATTTTCCTAAATATTCGTGCACAATACAATATCTATAAAAAAAACGTCTACAAGCTAACATATTGGTATCTCGGAAATAATTCATCCAGAAGTTCTCAAACTTGGCAGGTAAACTAGTCTGATTGAGACCTCGATGTATGTAAAGTTTCAGGTCAAAACTGTTAGATCATCTTTTATGTGTTATTATTGGGGCCTAAAAGTATAATGATCTTACCTTGGAATTGATTAAATAGTAATGTTGTTGGTGATGATGGTGTAATGGAATAAGAAGTGTAATATAAGTAGAAGAGGGGGAGGGGGATTTATTATGATGATAACATTGATAATAATAATAACGGAAGACGAATCGAAGATAATACAGTACAATCATCCACTAGATAGGAGAAAGTTCAACTGAACTATATCAAAATCTGAGAAAATCCGAAAGAGAAGACAGCAACAAATAAGAGAATAACAAGAAAAGACCAATTGAACAAAGTTCAATTAAGTTAGCGTCAACTTAATGCCATCTGTTGATCCCAACAAAAACTCGAAACTGTAATTTTATCGGAAAAGTCGAGTTCTTTAGAAAGATTGTAGTAAAAGTCAAATCGCAACTTGCATCATCCATATCCTCTTAGGCTTTTTCTAGTCTATACATCCTCCATCTATTAGCAAAATTTGAGTTCAAAAACCTTATAGCATCTAGAGAGATTCTCTTGTAAGACTTTCGCAAATCGAACGTTGGTTAGTACACTTTCGCTCGTTTGTGCATAATTTCGATATTGATTAAAGAGATATGTATCAACTACATTCGTGAGTACAGGCATCAGGATAGATTTTTATAACATTTGGCTTCTGTTCTTACATATAGTAGAGTGCAAAAAAAATTATTGTCGCGTGACATTCAAGCTTTCGAGCAGTTTTTTCTCCTGTATTTCACATAGGAATTATTCGAGAACCCTATCGAAGGATAATTGATGCGTATTAGTACTAGTAGCAACCGAAAGTTAATCTTAAACATTGCTTTGGTAAAATGAAAATATCTGATCTATCGACTAATGAGGATTTGTCGACAAACTTACTACTAGAGGCACAAACATTGTTGAGCAGTCAAAATTATCTTTCTTACAAAGATCTCTTGAGTGTGCTATTTGCTATAATATTGCAATATTACATTCGAAGGACGACATTAAATTCAAGGACCAATTGATCATATCGCAAGAAAGTTACGAAAAACTGTGACCGAACAGAATGCTGTAGATGTATTTAGATAAAAAGTGAAGCGCCGACTTTATCTAATAGGATGCATGCTAAGAAAAAACAGTGTGCACAACCATGCCCTGATCGTGGATCTTCTCTCTTGAATAATGAAAACCACAAGTCTTTATGATGTTCCTACCAAAAATTGTTCGAAAAAACTAGTAAAGTACATTCTATTTTGAAATAGATAGGAGTCTATCAATAGGAAATTTTGAAGCTATATGTGTCTAAAACAATCGAATGGTCGTCAAACAGTACAGGACTCAACGTAGCTGAAAATTCGTAGTTTTTCATTAAGTGATGTGTATCAAAATTGAAAAGAAAACATTTTTTTTTTATATCTAAAAATTACACACTTCATTAGTTTATTATTAATCAATTAAAGAAATAAATTTTTGTTTAGAAACTGATGATATACCAAGTCACCCATCATTACTCTTAGTTGTTAAATGGGGTGGACAATTAACTCAAACAGGTAAAAATCAAGCTGAATCACTTGGCAAAGTAAATAATATTTAATTATAATTTAATTATTCTATTATTTTAATTTTATTAGTCATTTCGTAAAATGTATCCTGGTGGTCAAAATGCCGGTGGTGATCGACCTGATGTTGGTCTTCTACGTTTACATTCAACATTTCGACATGATTTAAAAATCTATGCATCTGATGAAGGTCGTGTACAAATGACAGCTGCTGCATTTGCAAAAGGATTATTAGCACTTGATGGTGAATTAGCACCAATACTTGTTCAAATGGTTAAAAGTGCTAATACAAATGGTTTACTTGATCATGATGTTGATTCAACAAAGGAACAAGAAAAACTTAAACAAACTTTACATGAAATTTTAGCAAAAGATCGACAATTTACACAAGAAGATTATGATAAAGTTAGTTGAGAAACAAAAATAAAACAAATGTTAATATATGAGGTTGGCCAGTCTGGCCGGAAGCCCCAATAATATTCTTTTTATTGTAAGGATAAAACATATTATTGTTCGGGTCATATGAGAGAGGATCACAGATAAACTTGGATCGCCCCGAACAACACCATGTTTTATCCTTATAATAGTTGAGAAAAGCAACCAGCCTATCGTGTGAGCTAGTAGCTTTTCTCAACTATTATAAGGATAAAACATGGTGTTGTTCGGGGCGATCCAAGGTTATCTGTGATCCTCTCTCATATGACCCGAACAATAGTATGTTTTATCCTTACAATAAAAAGAATATTATTGGAGCTTCCGGCCAGACTGGCCAACCCCATATATATTTTTTTTAATGTTAAATAGATAGCACCAACTCGTACACGTTCATTGATTACATCAATGGATTTTATTAAAAATCCAGTTGTTATATGTCGAAAAATTTTTGAATATATTCATGAAATGACTGTACTTATTCGAACACATTTACTTAATGGCGGAACAGGTAGTTTTATAGAAATGTAATTAAAAACAACAAAAATCAAAATCTTGTTTTTGTTTATTTTTTAATATATTGTAGATACACTCTATCATTCTGAAACATGGGATTTATGTTTAAGACGATGTAATTATTATAGTTTATATAACGAATGATCATTGGAAAGTCTATTAGATAAAAGTTTTTGACACACTATATAAAAAGTATTTTCGATAAGTCAAAAAATCTCGTCTGAAAACTTTCCAATTACCTATTACTATAACTCGATCAGGTTTATTTTCGATTTTTTTTCGTCTACTGCCGTACAAAATGAAACGTTTTTCAGCTCTCTATAATGTTTTTTGACTGAGATAAATTAATCTTATAGAAGGCACAAAAGTTGCTCGTAGATGTGAATGTTATTAAAGGTCTTCACTTCATAGTGGAGAGAACTGAAAAACATTTCATTTTGTACGACACAGTGAAGAAAATAAACCTAGTCGAATAATTTTAGGAGTTATTATTTGTTAAATTTGTTTTTTATTTTAAGGGTTAAAATTAGAAAAAGATTTTTATAATATACAAAAAGATAAATTTAATATATCAAAAGTTCCTGATATATATGATTCAATAAAATATGATTTACTTCATAATAAAAATCTTCTTCAATTTCCACATGGTGAAGATTTATATGTATGTTCAAAAGCATTAGCTGATATTGTTGTACCACAAGTAATCGAATTTTTTTTTTTTTATAAATAAAATTTAATTGTTTTAAAAAGAAAATTTTAGGAATATGGAATGACAATTGAAGAAAAATTAAGTATTGCTCGAGGAATTGTTACACCACTACTTCGAAAAATTCGAGCAGGTAAAGAAAAATAAAAACATTTCTATCGATTTCGAAGTTAATAAGTTATATTAATGTATATTCTTTAACAAAAAAAAAAAAAGTCAGAAATTGATTCTAATTTCCGATCTTGTCACTATTGTTGTCCATCAGGGATGCCACCTCTTCAAGCCAGAAAAATTGCGGAAAGTTGTTTTCTGTGGGACTTTCACATTCCTGTGAGTTTCAATAGCTGGCTGCTTTTCTCCATAATTTCTCGTTATTCGCAAAGCTCCAAAGCACAATAAATGATACATAACAAAAAAATGAATCTTTTATTAAGCATCTCATTTTTTCAATACAGTACCATTTACTTTTTCAATGAGTTCCGGTTTGAAACTATTTTTGAGACAGTAGATGTGTAGGCATATTCGTGTGACATTGAAGTATTTCAACCGATCTGTATATTTGCAACGAGTGAATCGACTGATATTCGATTGTGGAAATCATTGGATATATGAATCTTTTCCGAAAAAAACATTTTCGGTAATAGCGCTGTTTTTGGAAATGGAACACAGAATGAATCATATAGACAACAGTAGACTGTTAACGACAGCTAACAAGAGACCTGTACCGGAGTTAGTTTCGGAATCAACTAAATTTTTAACACCAGAATTTTTGTGCGCTTTAAGTTTTATTTTTTGATAGAGGTTTTCTACAAACTGATGTACTGTGAAGGCTCAATCAACGATATATCGAGGCCTGCGGACACGAAAAGAAAATTGAAGTCGAAAAACACAAAGTCAAAGTTGGTTCAGACTTTCTTTACGTGTTCGCAGGTCTCGATGTGACGTTGACTGGACCTTCAACTTGTATCAGTTTGTAGAAAACTCATTAAGGAACAAAATCTAGAAACTACGAAAATTCTCATTTTAAATAAAAGATTATTGGCAAGAAATTTAATTCACTTCGAAACGACTTCGACGTTGATTGTAATCCAAATCTCTACAGCTAACATAATCTGTACCGTAGTAACGGATTTTCTGTCTAAAAAGTTTTCCGATACAAAATAAACTAAAGTTTTTTATATGAAAAAGCGGAAGAAGTGGCATCCCTGTTGTCCATCGTCGATAGGCTCGTCCTTGGATAGGGGATTTCTCATGATCACATTCAATATCAACATACCCTAGTCGACTCTCCCAACGAAATCATCGGGGAGTCCTCTGAAAATGCGGAATCCCCGAAGGAGGTGCATATCTCAGGATTCCCCTAAAAGTCCCTCTAAAATTTTCATAAATTTGAATTTTTCAGAGAATTCCAATGGTGGCTTCTGGAGAGACCCTGATAATACTCATCAATTTCCTGAGGAGTTCCTGAATCTTCTCTTAACTTCTCCAGTTACTCACAACAGTGATTCTTCTAGGGAGTCTCGACTAGGAATGCGGCCATTGCTGTGACTGTTAATAAAGAAATTTGTTTGATAGCGATAAAACAATTAATCTGGAACTTTCGAAAACTTATTCTATCTATCGTAAAAAAAAAGAAGATTCTAGAATTCAATTCTCTTTTATTTTTTAAGCATTATTATTATTAACTTTTCTCTAGATCTTCAATGTAATCTAACTGGTGTTTTAACTCATGATGAACATGTTAATAAATTAGATCCAAGGTAAATAAATTAAATATGAAAAATTTTAATGATATTAATTTGACTTTATTTTTTTTTTGTATTAACAATATTCTCTTTTTGAATTTTAGCTATTCAAAAGGTATTCAATCACCAGGTCGACATGTTCGTACCCGATTATATTTTACAAGTGAATCTCATGTACATTCACTTCTAACAATAATACGTTATGGTGGTTTATTAAATGTAAAAAAAAATTAATTTCTTTATTACTAAATAAAATTTTTATTTTAGGCATCAACTGATGAACAATGGAAACGTTCAGTAGATTATCTTGATGCAGTTTCAGAATTAGATTATTTAACACAAATTGTTATTATGTTATATGAAGATTCAAGTGAAGAAGAAATATCTGAAAAACGTTTTCATGTTGAATTACATTTTTCACCTGGTGCTTATGGTTGTTTTGGTGTACCATCTGAAGTAATTAATTTCAATAAAAAGAAAACAAAAAAAAAAAAAAATTCTTCTTCTTTAGATTGATCGAGTTACTTCCGATGTTAATACTATTCGTACAGTTTTACCAAAAAGTACACGAGAAGCAGCTCATAGTCCACCACGACAACATACAAATTCACCAATATTAGATTCATCATCAGAAACAAATACTATACCAATAACACAATCAACAAATCAAATACCTACAATTGTTACTGTTGATTGTACTCCTTCAATTATAAATACAGAAAAAACAAAAGCAAAAAATATTACAGAACCAATGTCTTTGAAAACTCATCATAGAAATAGTGAGGGAAAAATAGCACTTGATACATCGGAATCAAATGATTTTGATCAAATACATTCAGCGTCTGCACCACGTAGATTTATGAATTTATTTTTACTAGGACTGTACAGGTCATATGAGCGACAACGGTTTTCCTTACTGGAATAAGGGGAGAGGAAGACTATCAGTTTGACTGAAGGTTTTTAGGATCGAGAAATTCGAATTTTTTGAAATTTTGAGTTTGAATTTTTTTCAAACTCAAAATACCTCTCCTATTTGAGACAGGAAAATCGCTTATGCTCACTGTGAGCGTGATCTGTACACTCCTAAATTTCTACTTAGAATAATAAAATAATTTTCTTCTAGGTTCAACTAATTATGATAATTATCTTTTAAAACCAAAATCACTTGAACATAGTGATTTAAAATTAGAACGTAAGTTCAACTTTTTTAAATCAATATTTTTATCTTATTTTTTTAGCTAATATATACTTTTTAAAAAGGCAAGGTTTACTTCTTTTTTTTTTTTTCCTCTCCTATGATTTCTTAAATAAGAACTAACGCATATAATCAATTTATTATTTGAACAAGATAGTCACGATTCCAATCTCGTTGAGATTGGAATTGGGACCAAAAATCTCTTTCGATCAGCGCCAAATATAATTGGACCTGATCATAAAAAAAAAAAAAAGAAAGTCATATATTCTATATAGATAATCTTTTTTCTAACATTCCTGCCTGCTGCTTCATATTCATACTTCTAGACTTAACGCTACAACAGTCCGAATCATCTTCTTCATTTCCTAATGATATACGTCGCAAATCAAATGCAACACTTGGTCTTTGTTCATCGAAAGCTCATCATCGATCTTGTTTATTAACTAGTCTTGAACTTTTACGTCGAAATTCGGGTACAATATTAGTGTGTATGAAATGTAGATTCGAAAAAAAAAAAAAAACCATGTTTGATTGCAACCGATTTTCCTACCCATTCAATTAGGAATGAACCTTTATTTTTAAACATATAATTATTTTTTTATTAACGTAGATGAATAATTCTGCTACCTTTCTTACTACATGCTAATTTTTGTAAAATTATTACTTATTGATTTCTTTTTTGAAATCTAATATTAACTTTTAATATTATTTTTTGTATTTAAATTATTAAAAATTTTTAGAATCAATATTAACACATAATTATTATAATACAATTCATGGTGTTTTACCAGACAAAAGAAAATGTATATTTAATTGATTTACAAAAATAAAATTTTCAATATATTTTTTTTGTTTTTTTGTTTTTTTCTTTTGTATATTTTCAGTTAATTATGTTCCTTTAACTAGTATATTCAGTACAAGAGTAATTACTGGTGCAAAATCAACACCCGATCTTAATAAATTACTCGAACGAAAACAAGCAGGACGTATGTATATTTATATAAGCTAGAATTAAAATTGTCTTCAAGCTAGAAAATAATTATTTGATATTGATGGAAAACATCTTATATATCGGCAAAATAGGACATTTGCACCTTTCATTTGAGACTGATTCTCTATAAGAGTGAATTTTTTGTATAAATTCTTTTGGCATAGGCTTATGTGAAAATGTTTGATCTTTCACATGGTTATTAATTAATTAAAAAGTAATTAGCGAATATTTCGCTAACCATATGAGAAAAAAATCTGAAAATTTCAGGATAGGGTCTAGGGCACAAGCTGCACCTATGGTAAAATTTTCAGCAAGATTGGACTCCGAAAAGTTTCTTCCGAAAAACCGGTTTTTCAGAGATTCTGAAAAGTGAAGAAGCGAAAACTTTTCTCTTATCATCATCTAGGGATTCTGAGTAATGATTTGTAACGTTTGAAGTCGATTTTGAACTTTTCAGTTGGCTACAAGAGTATCATCTCGATTGTGTAGTCGTACTGTGTCACGTCGCTAACGACAAATAAATCGGTTTTTTCGAAAAATCTAGACATACTCAGAAAAATTTTGGATATAGACTTTATAGCCTTAGAAGTCGTCTACGAAATGCCCTATTTAGTTTTCTAAAATTGTGTATGAATTGAGAGTTATTAAAAACTAAAATACATGAAGTGGAAATCGATGTCCTTTTTTGTGTCACGTCGCTAACGGTAGTTTTTTACCAGTAACTCCTGTAAACAAAGCTTCATAGCGCTAATTTTTTTAGGGTATCTAGAGTAATTTAATGTCCATACAACATATAAGAAATCAGATCTAAGCGAGCTCATTATCTCGAGATACACATATTTTAATTTTCCGAAGTCACGTCGCTAACAAATGATTTTGCCCATATAATTCGAACCAAACAAAAAAGAATCTGCTAGTTAACCGTTTTGGTATAATATATTAGCCATAGTTTTATATTTTATCCTCTAATCGTTATTCTTCTAAGGCATACCGATAGTAGTACGAACAAGCGTGTAATATAAAATATTTTAATCTTTTCAGACTAATTAAGTTTCTTTTAGTGTAGAACAAAATAGTTCTACGATGAACAATTCATCTATACTTCCGATCTCACATATGAAATAGACGGAAGAGTAGTTTGTAGGTGTACTTTCTTTATAAATAACTAATGAGGAAATCTCTTCAGGTGTTACATTTCTTTTCAATCGAAATGATATTTAGTTGATAAAAAATTGAAGTGAATTAATTTATTTCATTTTAGTCGTTTATTCAGAAACTTCGGTTGTTGCTCCATTAGAAACTTTAACTACAAATTTAAATTATAAAATTCTTGATGAATTTATTGGTAAAATGACTGATTTAACATCGAAATTTTTATTAAATACTAATACTTCTATTACATTACCACCATTTATATTAACTTCAGACGGTTAGTTATATTATGTCTTTCTTTTTTTTTATGGCCATTTATTGACTACGAATAATAGATAAATATTGACTTTTTTTCTTTTTTTAGTACCAACAAATCGTTTTAGTATCGTATCTGTTGATAATAATAATGGTATATATGGTAATGATAAGAAACCACGTATTGGTTTTATTAAACTAACGCAATATTCAATAAATACAATCAATGAACTACCAGAAAAATCTTTGGATGAAGAACGATAAAGGTGCTTTGTTTTTGTATATTATATAGAATGTGTGAACATTAATTAATTAAACTATTCCATTCAGTTTGCTGTTCCAATCTTTTTATTTTTAAATTCTTTTTGTTTTTTACATGTTCATATTTTGTTTTCCTTTTACTGTTTGTGTATATATATATATATATATTTACTAAATGGTACACCTTTGTAGACATTTAACAAATATGACAAATTCTTGTGTTTGCACGGTCTTTTTTATAAAAGAAAACTTAGTATATTCTATTACAATAGATATTTGAAAAAAAAACCAGATTTTAAATGACACTTGGATTTATTCTCTAAGACGAAATATGATGCATACATAAAGTAATAGGTGAGATTAAGAGAACAAATATTTTTATCGTTCTTCAGATATTGAGTATATACATCATCAAGCAATATTGACTTTAATGTGGTTTTCAATATGAAGTGATGGGTTTATTGGTTTAAAAAAAAAAAGCCCTTTAACTGATATAAATAACACGCGAAGTATTTTTGAAAATTAACTTCCTCTATACAAAGATTTAGTGTGTATTTATAATTATAATAAAATTTAATAATGGTTCGGAAGTCCTATTACACATTACTATAATAGAAAAAAAAAATGAGATTTTATCCGAAGAAGGTCTTTATAATTGTAAAAAAGAAAAGGAGCAATATGGTATTGACAATGTTGTATCATGCAATTGTCTTTTTTCTTGTAGATGAAACAAAAAAAAAGTTGGTTTTTTTTTTCCATTAACATAAAACTAATTCATTATGCAACTTGATGATTTAAGAATATCATCTTCTTTTTCTTCTTTTGCAAATGAAAATAGAATTGTAAAAACTTAATAGTCCATGAAAATTTATTGATTCATAAATAATCTTCTTGTCTATGTTTATAAATTTACTTGTTCAACTGAAGTATTTATTTTAAAGCTTATAAAAACTTTATTCAATTCCATTTTTCTATTAAATAGAGTTACGTAAAATAGAAAACTTTTTACAGTTATGATTTACGTTCAATGTTAACCTTAATCATCCATTAAAAGAAATACTTAAATACAGAATATTGCATTACTAAGAATTCGAATGATGCAAAGCATAATCGATTATTCAATCATGTGTATAACGAAGCCTTTTGTTTATTTTTTTTTTCGTTTAAATTGATCTTGACATCAGTATACAATATTTGTTTGTAAAACTTCTTTTTTTTTTTTTTGTGTTTTTCAGATGAAATTTTATTTGAATAATTTAAAATTAGTTCGACAATGTTTAATAGATTTTCATCGTCAATTATCAATTAGTCAAATATATTTTCAACAGTCAGAATCAACACGAAATATATTTGATCGACAAACAAAATTAAAACAACGTGAACGAACTTGTCTCGATCCAAATTATGAAACTTATTCTTATGTACATGAACGTGTTGCACAAAGTCTTGTTGATAGAATATTTGATATAAAACGGTAGAATTATTTGTTTTATTATTCAAAAAAGAAACAAACAAAATTTCATTTAGAACATTTCAATCAGCACTTGATCTTGGTTGTGGTCGAGGTTTAACTGCTAGTGAATTAACTAAAGATGTTGTTAAACGTATAACTATGATTGATAATTCATCACTTATGCTTAGTCAAATACGTCCACCTATCGAAGAAAATGGACATGATGGAATAGAGATTATTAAAAAACATATGGATGAAGAACAATTAAGTGGTGAAGAATCATCATATGATCTTGCATATAGTTGTTTAAGTCTTCATTGGATTAATGATCTTCCTGGTGTATTACGTAAAGTTTTATATTTATTAAAAAATGACGCACCATTTATTGGTAAATATATATTTGAATTTAATCATAATCTTTTACATATCTTAAAGAGAATGAAATTTATTTGATGAGAAAATTAGATGTAGACAAGAATCATCGATAGAATGATTTTGAAATGTAGAAATAAGATTTTAGTTCATATAATTTAATTAACAAAATGAAATTTAATCGAGAAATAAAAGACATGGGAAATAGTCAATTAATAGTTGTTTGATTGGTTTCAGTACTTCACCGTTACATATATAGCAAGATGTGTCAACTCATTAAAAATTCTTTTTTTTTTTCTATTACCCATCACTTGCAACCTGATCGACTCAATTATATCTATACTATAAATTGATTTTATGATCCATTTAATTGATCATAATTGTATATTTTTTTTATAGGTGCAATGTTTGCTTCCGATACGTTATATCAACTTCGTGTTTCACTTCAATTAGCTGAAACTGAACGTGAAGGAGTAATGAGAAAGAAAAAATTTTTTAATTAAAATTTTTTTTTTGTTCTTGTAAAGGGTTTTTCACCTCATGTTTCACCATTTGTTGAACCACCAGATATTGGTGGTCTTTTACAACGTATTGGTTTTAATATAGTTACATTAGTGCGTATTATTTTGTACAAATTGAATTTAATAAATTATGTTTTTATTCTAGTAGGATCTTGATGAAATTTATATTGATTACCCTTCGATGTTTGAATTAATGTTTGATCTTAAAGGTAATAAAAATAAATATTTATTAACAAATTAAATTTTTTTTTTTAATTATAAGGTATGGGTGAAAATAATTGTAGTTGGAATCGAAATTTAACATTAAAACGTGAAACACTTCTTGCAGCTCAAGCTATTTATCAAAGTAAATCTAAAGATATTATAATCTTTATCTGTGATACTTCTGTTTTATTATAAGTATTCATTTATTACCTTCTGAATAGTATAATGACAAAGTCATAAATTTTGAAATATGTACATAAAAGAAATAAAGCAGAAGAAGAAGAAAAAAAAAAAACAAATTGTTTCTTTTTATAGATATGTACGGTAATCAAAATGGGTCAATACCAGCTACCTATCGTATACTATATTTTATTGGTTGGAAGCCAGACCCAAGTCAAGTAAATATTTATTAAAATTGTATTTGTTTCTCTAATTAAAAAAAAAAAAAACTTTTGTATTTAGAAAAGTCCAGCTAAACGTGGTTCGGCGAATGTATCTTTCAAGGATATAGACAAGATTTTAACGACGAAAAAATAAATCTTATGACCAACAGCTTGCTTATGTGTTGATACTAAACCTTGACATGATTATGTTCTTCTTTTTTTGTATTAACAAAGAAAAAAAAAAAAAACACACACATAAACACAAAAGAACTATGTTCTTCGATTATGACACACATATCATTTAGTGTTCCTTCTTTTTTTTTCTTTTTTTTTTTAACAGAACAAAATCTACATAGTGCTATTAAAGAAAAAAAAATTGATAATAACGATGTTAAAGACATGCGGAAAAACAGAAAAAGAAAGAACGTACATCTTACAGCACATAAAATAACGTTCGATTTTTTTTCTTCTTTTTTTTTTCTCTGCTTCTTCGATGTGTTCTTTTTGAAAAGATTTTTTTTATGTATGTTGGCTGACTGCCGACACTTTTGCCCCTATTGCTACTACTGCCGTCAACATTATTATATGCACGCGTATATAAGAAAAAAAAAAGAAAGAACCGAAGAAAGAACGTGAACTATGATGACGACGATACCGGTAAGAATGAATGTCCATAGGACGTTGTGTTTTGTTTTGTTTTTTTTTTTTCTTTTCGTTATTATGAATGACTACTGACCATTCACATGGATGAAAAAGAAATGTATTGTATCATTTATCGGTTGGCATATAGACAGACTTCCAACCCTATGGCTGTGTATACATACATGTTCTATTTAACAAATGAAACTAACACTGCACGCAGAAAGAGAATAAAATATATATTTTTGAAGCAATAACAATACTTATTTTATTGCATTGTTGATAATCGTTTGAGTTTTAAATTTTATAGTTTCTCTATCAAAAGGAATATAATGAGACAAAAAAATAAAAGAAATATTTTACAATTTTGGATATTATTCGATATTAACATATATATATATATATATATGTCTTAAAATCAGTGTCAAACATTTGTTTGTATTGAACAAATATGCATTAGTCTTTAATTGAAATGGAACCATGAAGAACAAAAAAAGAAAAAAAATTGATTTTCAGTTGTATTTACATTCGAACAAACACAAGTGATTATTACAGTATTCGTCGAGCTTATCTTGACAACAAACTCACCTACTTAAATAGCAGTAGTCGTTGTTGTTGTGAGAAAAATGAAGGAGTAAGAAAAAAAAAAACGAACGAACGAACGAACAAACGAAAAATGCTGCTGAAAACAAGAAGAAAAAAGAAATTTGTGATTTACATTTGCTTATTCATACTCATTTTTCCACTGTTACTTCTGTACTATTTTGATTATATGAAATCGAACATTTAGGTTTTTTTCCCTAAGAGTTTCGTAATATTCACGTTTTGTGCCAAGTCAAATGAGAAAAAAAGGCAGGAGAAAAGAAAGCAGAAAGAGAGAGAGAGAGAGAGAGAGAGAGAGACTTAATCAGACTGCAGATGATGTAAGACCATGGCGGCGAACGAATTCAATACATCTTGGTGTGCACGAATACACTCGATGACACAATCGGAACATTTGAAACCGCAAATCTCTCTCTCTGTTTCTCTCCTTCTTTTTTTATGCATGTTGTCACAAGAGGTATTTTATGATTTGCTTGATTTTTCTTTCTTTCTCTCTCTCTCTCTCTCCCCTTCTTGTTCAAATCATCGTCAATTTATTGTCCTCAATACGTGTGCAATTGTATAGTGTCGTAAATATTTTTCTTCTTTTCACTCATCAAGTAGTACTCTCTGCTGACCGTCGTAGTCATTTAAAATATGGTCAATAGCATCACTGACGATACTAGCTTCGTCTCTTATTCTCCCTCAAGCTGTGTGACGAGAAGAGGATCAGTCAATAACTTACCGAAGCGTACCACACACTACTCTGCACTCCACTTATGTGCGTCAATATTTACTCATTCAAATCAGAATCATTCTTTCTCTTTTTCTGTCTCGTTCTTTCGTTTAAAAATCGCTTCTACTTGCCGTTTTCAATAGAAAAAAGTAAGTGGTAACTGCAGTTTTCTTTTATTTTCTATTCATTTTCGTCCTTCTTTTTTTTAATTTTATTATCTTATCTAGATGGATATATATATATATATATATATATATATATTTAAATATATGGACGGTGAAGGACAGACCTTGAATAATGGACAAGATTAAATGAAAAACAGTCAGACAGACAGACATATGTAGGATTAGGATATAAAATTAGCACGTCGTCGAGTGTCAATTTGTTTTTGTCTTTATATACTTGCTCATCGAATTTATTCATTCTTTATCGTATTTTTTCAATTTGCATTCTGTTTACGTGGAGATAGTAAGATGAAATGAGTAAGATGTCGACGACCTTTTGTATATATGAGAAAGAATGAGTAGGCGACATATATATATATATATATATCCATTGTATACGTATATATATATATATAAACGAATATAAGATGATGAAGGTAGATTTCAACTTCATGATTATATACATAGCTGTCGTTATAGTGAGGATATTCGAGTAAAGAAAGAAGAATATTTTTACTTCATATGTTTCCATTTATGTACGATATTACATACATAAATTCTACCCGAAAAGATGATGAAACATTCCGTTGTTCTTCGATTTCAAAAGGTAAATATGTGCAGAGATGGTCTCTCTCTCTCTCTTTCTCTCTTTCTTCTTTTTTTTTATATGTCATCTTCAATACGTGTGTGTACGTATGTGTAATGCTTATCAAGCTGGTTCGTTTGCTTGATAGACAGAAAGAGAAAGAGAAAGAGAAAGAGAGAGAGAGAGAGGGAGAGAGAGAAAGACACTGTAGTTACAAAAAGATTAGCAATACGAAGAAGACGAAGAAGGACATATTGTTTCATTGTCGATCGTTGCCACACATATACCACAGGTATACGAAGTGCCAATGAACATGTGTGTGTGACTATATGTGTGAGGAGGGAGAAAAAAAAACCTATATATATCGAATCGAATGCTGCCGTCTCATGTCTAGTCTCGAATTGCGAACATTGATGTATGTATATAAATATATATGTCTATTCTCTAATTGAAATGATACCTATATATATATATATATACGATATATACACGATATATGATCTTTTCGACAGTTTCTATTCTAGATGTTACCATCTGTATTCAATTGATAAAATAAATTTTTCTTAAGAAAAAAAAAAAACTATAACAAATCGAAGAGAAATTTGATTATGCCTGAATTAAGTGACGCCGAACTTTTGCGTAATGCTAATGTTCGTTTATGTCGATTACGAATTTGGCCCAATTTCGAAGGACTTGGTTTTAATCTTGAAGCAGCTTCTCGACCACCACATTTAATTCGACTTGTTGAATCCAATAGTCCAGCAGCAATTGGTGGTTTAAAAATTCTTGATGTTGTATTAGCTGTTAATCAAGAAGATGTATCCGATGCTAGTTATGATCGTGTACGAAATGCTATTAAAGCAGCACGTGATAGTAATGGTCCTATTGAATTACTTGTTGTTGAACAACGTTTTTATCATCAATTAAAAAAACGAAATATTCCAGTTAATCCTCAAACAGCAAGTGTTATGAATACACCAGCAGCAATGCCAAATGATTATTTAAATTTTCCTAAACGTACACCACGTACATGTAATATACGTTTAAATAGAAATGATACATCATTTGGTTTTGAAGTTATTAATGGTGAAAATGATATTGGTGCATATATTCAAGAAGTATTTCAAAATACTCCAGCTAGTAATACACCATTACGTAAATCTGATCGTATTATTGAAATTGATGATAAATATGTTGATAAAGATTTAAGCAAATCTATATTAGAAAAATTAAGTAAAGCAAAAACTAAAGGTGTTGTTAAATTATATGTTGTCGATACAGAAACATATAAAAATGCTCAATTAAATAAAATATCATTAGCATCAAAAGGAAAACGTAAAAGCCAATCAGAAGATAGATTATCAGCTAATCGGTATTATACAAATGATCGTACATGTAAGTATCAAATAATCAAAAAAAAAAAAGAAAATATATAGATATTTATTTATTTATTTATTACTAATCTAATCAACCTTGAATTTTATATTTATTCAAAGTCTGAAAATTGAGAAGTTTTGTATCACTTTTCAGTCTTTATATTTGTTAGAAGGGAAAAAAAACTATTTGAATAGTTCTGGTTTTCTTTTTCTTCTTCATTTCAAAGAAGAAAAAAAAATGACAATATTTGATAGAGAAATTTTTTATTCAGCTTTGTCTATGAATGACGATAATCAACTACCACCATCGAATACATCAACACTTCGTGATATGCCAAAAACTAGAACACCAAGTGTACCGGATTTAACACAATCAACAAGATCACAAATACCACCATTAATTATTCCTACATCATCAGTACCATCACGAAATGAAGATATTCGTTTATGTACTATTGATCGTGCTGATTCTGCTGATACATTTGGTATTGAACTTAATTATCATCGTCGAGAACAATTTCATTCATTAAGTATTATACCTGGTCGAGATAATGAACGATCAAGTAAGATTTTCAATTGTTTTTTTTTTTTTCTTTTGTACTATTTTTATCCTTCATTATTAATTATTTATCAAAATAATTTTTATCGTTTGTTTTAAATAGATTAGTTTAAATCTTTAAAGATTAGAGGTATATAAATCGCAAACTCTTGAGAATTAATAATTTTTCATTCAAAAAAAAAAAAAAGAAAGAGAACGGTCAAAAAAAAAATGTCTATTTGAAATAATAAGTCAACTCTTATCAGTTAGAAAGGTTAAGAACGTGTTTAGATGTTCGAGTAAAAAGAAAAAGCAATGTAATCAAATGTGTACTTGATAAAAAAAAAAAAAGAACTTAATATCACTGAAAATATTTCGAATTGTTTAAAATTTGATTTTTAACTTTAATTATTTATATATGAAAATATTATTGAAAATAGAGCATTTAAAACGAAGAAATTTTGATTCATTTTATTTTTTTTTAAATGAAATTCAATTATTTATAAGAAATTAAAATTTAATATAAACATCTG